GCTGCGCGACCAGGTCAACGGGCTGCACAACCAGGGCAGCGGCCTGCCCCCGGCCAACAGCCTGAGCGGCCAGCGCAGTTTCGCGGACATCACGGTCGACAACATCGTGGTCGGCCAGCCGGTGCGCTTCTCGGTCGTCGACTCCGAGGGCGTCACGGTGAGCACCGCGCAGCTTCCGGCCGACACCTACAGCGCCGAGGAGGTGCGCGACTGGATCAACGCCAACCTGGCCGGTGCCACCGCGACCGTCTCCAACGGCAACGGCCTGGAGATCACCGCCACGGGCGCGGCCAACGGCATCGCCATCGCCGACAGCCCGAACCAGAGCGTCACCGACGGCACGGTGACCACCCAGAGTCTGTCCCACTACTTCGGTCTGAACGACTTCTTCGTCACCCCGGGCAACGTCACCGGCGACGCCATCACCGGCCTGTCGCAGATGCTGCAGGTGCGCGGCGACATCGCCAGCAATCCGCAGCTCATCTCGCGCGGCCGCCTCGACGTCAACGCCGCCGCCCCCGGCGACACCGCCCTCTCGGCCGGCGACAACACGGTGATCACGGCGCTGGCGGAGAAATTCGACGAGGAGCTGCTGGTGCAGCCGGCGGGCAACCTGCCGCTCACCCGGACCACGCTGTCGGGCTACGGCGCCGACATCCTCTCCAACGCCTCGATGGAGGCCAATGCGGCCAGCGCCAACAAGAGCTTTCAGGAGAACCTGAGCCAGGAGATGGCCTACCGCCGCAGCGCCGTGAGCGGCGTCAACATCGACGAGGAGATGGGCAACCTGGTGCTCTACCAGAACGCCTACAGCGCCTCGGCCCGGGTGCTCGACACCGCCCGCCGGATGTTCGAGACCCTCGAAAGCATCATGCGCTAAGCCCAAGGACGAGAGCGATGTTCCGAGTTTCCACCTTCGGCAGCCACGAGCTCAGCCTGTACAACGCCATGCAGACGCAAAAGCGCCTGCAGGAGGGGCACATCGCCGGCACCACCGGCATGAAGAGTCAGGACTACGCCGGGCTCAACACCGAGACCCGCCGCCTGCTCTCCATGGAGTCGACGATCGCGCGGATCGACGCGCACGACCGCAACATCGCCGCCACCGAACGGCGCCTGCAAGCCATGGAGATCTCCGTCTCGCAGCTCAGCGACATCGCCTCCGAGGCGAAGACCCTGCTGGTCAACGCGCTCAACGCCGAGGACGCCGAGGAGCTGCAGCTCGACGTGCGCGCCGGGGACATGCTGGAGCAGGTCGCCGGGCTGCTGAACGTCAATTTCGAGGAGCGCTACCTCTTCGCCGGCGGGCGCACCGACGTCGAGCCGGTCGACTTCGGCGCCTTCGACCCGACCAACCCGGCCTACGATCCCAACAACCCGGTCCCGGCCAACGCCGGCTACTACCAGGGCGACACCCAGGTGCTGACCGCCCGCATCGACGAGTCCCAGACCCTGGACTACGGCGTCACCGCCGCCGAGGGCGCCTTCGAGGAACTGATCCGCGGTCTGAAGCTGGTCGAGAACGCCGGTACGCCGGGCATGATCGACCGCCCGAGCCTGGAGCAGGCCCTCGACCTCATCCAGGGCGCCGTGCGCGACATCCCCGACGTGCGGGGGCAGATCGGCGCCAACCTGACCACCCTCGATTCGGTGCGCGACAAGCAGGAACAGCTTCGCATCTACGCCCAGGAGACGATCACCCAGACCGAGACCGCGGACATCGGACAGACCATGACCCGGATTACAGCCGACCAGGTGCTGCTTGAGGCCTCCTACACCCTCACGGCCCGCCTCAGCCAGGTCAGCCTCGTGAACTTCCTGCGTTAACCGCTGGGTTACCCGGTTTGAAGGAGACTACCGTCATGTCGAGCACCGCACACGCCCTGGCCACCCCCATGCCTCCGCAGGTTTCCGTGACGCCGCGCACTCTCGTCGAGACGCGCTTCGGGAGCTTCGCTTTCGATGCCGAAAACACCCTGTTCATGCCCTCGGGGCCGCTGGGCTTCGCCGCGCATCATCGCTTCGGGCTGGCCAACCTGCCCGATCCGAAGCTGGAGGCCTTCAAGCTGCTGCAGTCGCTCGACGACGTGGAGGTCAGCTTCATCGTCACGCCGCTGGCGTTGCACCCCGGCCTGATCGAACCGCAGGACCTGGACGCCGGCGCCGGCGCCGTCGGCCTGGACGCGGCGCAGGTCGAGCCGCTGCTGATCGTCACCGCCCGAGCCACGCCCGAGGGCACGCAGCTCAGCGTGAACCTGCGCGCGCCGGTGCTGGTCGACCTCACCACGCGCACGGCCCGCCAGGTGGTGCTCGGCAACCCCGACTACCAGGTGCGCCACCCGATCACCGCGCCCGCCAGCTAAGCGCGCATCCAGCGGGCCCGCCGCCGGCGCGGCGCGGCCGCTACGCCGTCACCCCGAAATCGCGGCTCAGGGCCGCGGCGATCTCATCCAGCGCCTCGGTCAGCGGGGCGCCGTTGGGCACGCTGTGGATCGTCATGCGGGGATACCAGGGCAGGCGATCGCTGCCGAGCTTGATCCAGGTGCCGTCCTGGGTGGTGAAGCGGTAGGTGCGGCAGCCCAACGCCCCGGCCATGTTCGCCACCGTGGTGCTGGGACAGACCACGGCGTCCAGGGCGCTCATCAGGGCCGCCACCTCGTCCAGGTCGTCGGCCATGTCGATCTCGTCGTCGAACGACAGGAAACGCTGCGGCCAGCGCGCGGCGCCCTCCGCCAGCTCCTCGGCCGCGACGCCATACTGCAGGCTGACGAACTGCAGCCCCGGCAGGTCCAGCAGCGGCGCCATCTCCTCCAGCGAGAGGTAGCCGTAGGTCCGGCGGGTCAGCAGCAGCATCGAACGCCAGCAGAAACCGATCTTCGGCGCCGGCCCCAACGCCGCCAGGCGCGCGCGCCAGTGCGCGACCCGCGCCGGGTCGGCCGTCACGAAGCCGACCCGCTCGGGAAAGGCCTCGAGGCTGCGGCGATAGCGCGCCGGCAGGCTGCCGAGCTGCAGCACGTAGTCGAGGTCGGCGTCGAACGCCTCGGTCCCCTGGCCCGGACCGTCCCGCTCGGCCGGGCGCACCTCCACCTCGGGGAAGGAGCGCGCGACCAGCGGCAGGATCTTCGGATGGACCTCCAGCGCGACCCGGGCGCCGCTCGGGCGCAGCTCGCGCAGCAGGTCCGGCAGGCAGGAGATATAGAAGAGCTGGTCGCCGACGCCCTGCTCGGCGATCACGCCGAGGCGCTGGCCGCTCAGGTCCTGGCCCTCCCACAGCGGCCGGCGGGTCATTCGCCAGGCGCAGCGCACCTGGGCGTGCACCCCCATCTCGTAGTGGTCCCAGCCCGCCTCGATCCGCCCGAGGGCGAGCAGCGCGAAGGCCTTGTTGAACAGCGTCGCGGGGCTGAGCGGGCCGGTGCGGCCGGCCGCCTCGAAAGCCTCCAGAGCCGCGGCGTAGTTGCCGCGGCGGTTGTGCAGAATCCCGAGGTTGTTCCAGCCGTGGGAGCGCTCCGGCGCGAGCGCGACGGCGCGCTGCAGCACGGCCTCCGCCTGGGTCAGCTCGCCGCGGTCGATGTGCAGCCGGCCCTGCATGGTCAGCGCCGGCGCGTTATCCGGTTCGCGGCGCAGCGCCTCGGCCAACGCCGCCTCCGCTTCGGCCAGGCGGTCGAGGTGCAGCAACACCTCGGCCTTGGCCACCTGCTGGCGGGCATCGCGCGGCGCCAGCGCGACGGCCCGCTCCACCGCCGCCAGCGCCTCCTCGTCACGCCCCAGCTTGACCAGGACCGCGCTGCGCAGGCGGTGCAGGTTGGCCAGCTCGGGATGACGCGCGACGGCGCGGTCGAGCAGCGCGATGGCCTCGCCGTTGCGCGCCAGGCCGAACAGCAGGTTGGCGTAGGTCCCCAGCACCTCGGCATGATCGACGTCGAGCAGCAGCGCCTCCTGCAGCGCCGCCTCCGCGCCGGCATAGTCCGAAGTGGCGATCAGCGCCTGCGCCAGGCTCAGGCGGGCGTCGAGCCGCGAGAGGTCGAGCTTGACCGCCCGGCGGGCGGCGAGGACGGCGTTGGCGGCGTCCTGGCCGGCCAGGAGGATCGCCGCCAGGCGCGCGAAGGCGGCGGCGCAGTCCTGCCAGCGGTCGATCGCCTGGTTGGCGGCTTCGGCCGCCGCCGGCAGCAGGCCCCGCGCGGCCAGCCGCTCGGCGATCCAGAGCAGCGGCTGCGGGTCCTGGGACTGCTTTTGCAGGCGTGTCAGCCCCTGCGCCAGACTGGCCTCGCCACCGCGGCACCACCCCTCGACCAGCAGTTCGGCCAGCACCTCGGCCGCCGCCGCGGGCGGCAGGCGCTCCGGCTTGACCGCCAGCAGCTTCAGGCCCAGCCGCTCGGCCTCGCTCCGCCGGTCCAGACGCGTCAAGGCGCCGACCAGCTTGACCCGGGTGTCGAGCGGACGGCCGTCGATCTTCAGGGCCTCGCGGTAGGCCTTCTCGGCCTCGCGGTCGCGCCCCGCGGTGGCCAGTGCATCGCCCAGCGCCGTCTTCAGCCTGGCGTCGCGCGGTTGCAGGCGCGCCGCCTTGCGCAACCGCTCGATCTCGCCGTCGCCGGTGGCGGCGCCCGCGGCTGGGCGACGGGACGAAGGGGCGGACAGGGACATCGCGGACTCGCTCTCGCACTATGGGTCGGGGCCGAAGCGGCATCGGCCGGCGGGCACCCTCTCCAGCTAACCGCTTATGCTTTCGGAATGCTTAAGCCGGCGCCCCGGCCGGCAGTTCTTGCCCGGCAGAAGCTGCAGCGTTGGGCAAAACTTGCCGCGTTAACCCGGTCGAAACTGCCGGGTCGGCAGGATCGACTCACCCTCCCGGCAAGTCCTGCCGCGCCCTCGGCAGTTTTCGCCGAGTTGGCACGAGGTTTGCTGAGAAGGGGGCGGACGCGCAGTCGTCCGGAACCTGGGACAAGCAGTCCCGCCCTGACAGGAGGTCGGGGTCGAAAATCCAAGTAGGAGACCTAAGGACTATGAGCACTCTCAACGTCGTTTCGAACTTCGCCGCGAACGTCGCGCACCGCAACCTGTCGCAGTCCAGCTCGGAAGCGACCAACTCGGTGGCCAAGCTGTCGGCCGGTACGCGTGTGCTGGCCGCCAAGGACGACGCGGCCGCCCTGGCCATCGGCTCCCGTCTGAACTCCGAGGTGAACAGCCTCAAGCAGGCGGGCGTCAACGCCGGCCAGGCCATCTCCATGCTGCAGATCGCCGACGGCGCGATGAGCCGCACCAACGACATCCTGGTGCGGATGAAGACCCTGGCCGTGCAGTCCAGCTCGGGTCAGCTCTCCGACACCGAGCGGGGCATGCTGAACGAGGAGTACACGGCGCTGCGTTCGGAAGTCGACCGTATCGCCAACGACACCGAGTTCAACGGCACCAAGCTGCTGTCCGGCAGCGACACCTTCTCGGCCACCCTCGCCGGCACGGCGACGGCGATCGAGGTCGGCGACGGTTTCGAGCAGGTCAGCTTCACCAACGACACCGGCGCCTTCAGCACCGGCAACGTGGTGCAGATCGCCTACGACGCCACCGCGGACCAGTTCACCGTCACCAACCTGAGCACCAGCACCAGCTACACCTCCGACGCCGGTGTCTCTTCGCCCAGCGCGGGCGACTTCCGTGACGTGACGATCAACGGCGCCGGCATCACCCTGAAGCTGAACTCGCTGTTCGACGACACCAGCAACATCACTGCTGACGTCACCACCCAGTTCACGGTCGCCGGCGGCACGTCGGACACCCTGAGCCTGGACTTCCGGATCGGTACCGGCACGGAGTCGACCGAGGACGAGATCACCGTCAGCCTGAAGTCGGCCACGGCCGACGCGCTGAACAGCAACCTCGGCTCCTCGACCATCGACACCAACACCAACGCCGAGAACGCCATCGGCTACATCGACAGCGCGATCGACACCCTGGCGCAGAACCGCGCCGAGCTGGGTGCCAGCCAGAACCGGCTGGAGTTCGCCTCGGCGAACATCGCCACCTCGATGGAGAACACCGAGGCCGCGCGTTCGGCCCTGATGGACCTGGACGTCGCTTCGGAGATGACGAAGTTCACCTCCAAGCAGATCCTGGTGCAGTCGGGCGTCTCAATGCTGGCCCAGGCCAACCAGATGCCGCAGAACCTGCTGCGTCTGCTGGGCTGATCCGGCGTCTTCCGGTTCGGGGAGGGGGTCCGCCCCCTCCCCACTCGGCTTTAACGGCCGCCTCTTCCGCGCTGCGCTTTGTCAGATTCTGGCATCATTCTTGCTTCTCATTTCTCGCAAGGTCGATCCCGTTAGGACCTTTGTTTTGCGAAGCACAGCGCAGGTAGTGCCGGTCGCCGGGGCCCGTCGGGCCCACTGACGGCCGACGCGAACGAGAGCCATGGAAATCACGCCCCTGTCCCTTCCGCCCCAGCCCGCCGCGAAATCCGCGGCGTTCGGGGCTGCCGCGGCCGCCGTCGCCGACGAACAGCCGGCCGCGGCGCGCGAGCGCCTGCTGGACCGGGCGATCGAGGCGCCGCGGCGCGCGACCGGCGAAGCGCCCGGCGGGGCCCCGCAGAAGCTCAAGGTCACGCTCGACATCGACGAGGGAACCAAGCAGGTGATCGCCAGCCTGGTCGATCCGGAGACCGGCGAGGTCAAGCAGCAACTGCCGCCGGAAGAGCTTCTGCGCAGCGCCGAGCAGCTGCATGCGCTGCTCGACCGTCTGGTCGACATCGAGGTGTGAGGGCGGCATGTCGGATATCGCGATCAACTCCAACAGCCTGATCACCGACGCCAACGGCCGGGTGCGCTTTTCCGGCCTGCAGTCGGGCATCGACTTCAACTCGGCCGTCGACGGCATCATGCAGGCCCGCCGCATCCCGGTGGATCGGCTGGAGGCGCAGATCGAGGACCGCGGCAGCAAGCTGGAAGCGCTCAGCCAGCTTCGTGCGCTGATGACCAACATGCGCACCTCGCTGACCGACCTCTACGGCCGTATCACCCTGGGCGACGCCGGCAACGTCTTCGCGACCAAGTCCACCTTCGCCTCCACCTCGCGCCAGGACGGCGGGGCGGCCTCCGACGCGGCCAACCTGCTCGGCGTGGCGGTCACCAACGCGGCCGAGACCGGCACCCACGAGATCGAGATCGACCAGATCGCCCGGGCCCAGCGGATCGGCAGCCTGACCTTCAGCAGCACGACCGCCGACCTGGGCAGCGCCAGCGGCGGCGCCGCCGGCTCGATCGCCGGCAGCATCGACATCAACGGGCGGACCATCACAGTCGACGGCACCGACAGCCTGCTGACGCTGCGCGACCGGATCAATTCGGCCAACAGCGGCACCGACGCCACCGGCGTGCGCGCCTCGATCGTCTCGGTGGCCGAGGGCGAGAACGTGCTGGTGCTCACGGCCGAGGAGACCGGCAAGGAGATCAGCCTGACCAACGAGACCGGCGGCCTGCTGTCCGAACTCGGCATCTCGAACGACGGCGGCGCGACCCTGCTCAACGAGTTGCAGTCGCCGCGCACGGCCCAGTTCTACGCCGACGGTCTGCTCGACCCCGACAAGTGGCACTCCAAGAGCCTCAACGGCAGCGCCGCGCTCTCCACCTTCGGCGTCGGCGGCGGGCCCTACAGCTTCGAGATCCGCGACGCCAGCGACAGCCTGCTCGGGACCGTCGCCTACAGCGGCAGCGACAGCGTCAGCGACCTGGCCGCCTCCATCAACGCCGTCGCCGGCGTGAGCGCCAGCGTCGTCACCTCGGGCGGCACCACCCGTCTGGAAGTCACCGGCGACGGCGGGCAGGCGATCAACCTGAGCGGCGACACGGGCAGCGCGCTCGACGATCTCAGCCTGACCAACCGCCAGCTCATCGAGCGCAGCAGCAACACCATCGCGGACCTCTTCGCCGGCACCACCCTCACCCTCTTCGGCGCCGAACGCGGCACCACGATCCGGGTCGAGGTGGAGCGCGACCTCAACGCGGTGAAGACCGCGATCAGCGGTTTCGTGACCGCCTACAACGAACTGAAGAGCTTCATCAATCAGCAGCAGCTCGCCGATCCCGACACCGGCGAGGCGACCGAGGAGACCGGGCCGCTGTTCCGCAACTCGACGCTGGGCGACATCGAGCGGCGTCTGAGCTCGGTGCTCGGCAACGGCGCCGAGGGCACCTCGACGGCCTTCAGCGTGCTGGCGCAGATCGGCGTCGACTTCGTCAACAACGACGCGCTCAGCGACCCGCTGCTCAAGGACACGCTCAGGATCGACGAGACCAAGCTCGACTCTTCGCTGCTGAACAACATCGACGAGATCGAGAGCCTCTTCACCTTCGGCCTCACGAGCTCCGATCCGCGGGTGCAGCTCCTCAACTTCAACCGCAATACCGCCTACGATCCCAACGGCTATACCCTGAACCTGGGCGGCGTCGGCTCCTCGCGCGAGCATTCCGCCACGATCGTCGACTCGACCGCGACACTCGACGACGGCGCCAACTCCGTCGGCGCCACCACCTCGGGCAGCTTCGAGATCAACGGCACGGCGATCACCTACGACGTCACCACCGATTCGCTGGACGACCTGGCGGACGCGATCAACGCCGCCGGCATCACCGGCGTCACCGCCGCCGTGTTCGACGGCGAGAGCGGCAAGCAGCTCGCCATTTCCTCCAGCGAGGACGCCCTGACGGTGACCAACGACACCGGCGACCTGCTGGCCGGGCTGTCCTTGACCACCCAGAGCTACCTGGTCGGCTCGGCCAACCTCGACGGCGCCGGCGACGGCAGCGACGACGGCTCGGTGAGCGTGTCGGGACGGACCCTCACGGTGAGCGACCAGAGCGGCGCGGAGGGGCTGCGGCTGCTCTACACCGGCGCCGGCGACGCCAGCGGCATCGACATCGACTTCAGCGTCGGCCTCGGCGCGAAGATGTTCTTCGAGCTCGACGCGCTGCTCGACACCGAGAGCGGCTCGCTGGAAGGCGAGGTCGACACCCTGACCGAGCAGAACCGCCTGGCCCAGGATCGGGCGGGCGAGATGATCGAACGCCTGGACTTCCAGCGCGAGCGGCTGCTGGAGCGCTTCGTCACGATGGAGCAGAACCTGGCGCGGCTCAACTCGATCCTCGATCAGATCCGCCAGATCACCGAAGCCGGCAGCGGCAACCAGTGATGCACCGCCATCACACCTTCTCCGAGTAAGTCAAGAGGTCAGGACGCGCCATGAGCTACGCCCTCGCCCGCAACTACCAGACCCAGGCCCTGATGACCGCTTCGCCGGCGGAGTTGGTGGCGATGCTGTTCGACCGCGCCATCCAGTTGCTGCGCGAGACCGAGCGCGCGATCGAGGAGGGGCGGATCGAGGCGCGCCACAAGGCCAACGCCAAGGCGATGGACGTGATCCATCACCTGGACATGACCCTCGACCGCGACCAGGGCGGCGAGATCGCCGAGCAGCTCGCCCAGCTCTACAGCTTCGCGCTGCGGCGGCTGGCGGAGGTGGACCGCCTCAACGACCCCCAGGTCCCGCGCGACATCGTCGCCCTGCTGGAGCCGCTACGCGACTCCTGGCGCACGCTGGCGCGTGATGGCGCGGCCATGCCGCGCCCCGCCGCGGCCCCCTACCAGAAACAGGCGCAGACGAAGTCGAGCGCCGCGTCCGAGAACCGCGACAGGGCCGCCACGCCACCGGCCGTGAGCCTCAGCTTCTCAGCCTGATCCCGGGCATTCGTCGCGAAACCACGACGTCCGAAGCCGCCTGCCGCCCCGCTGGTCCCGCCAGCGGGGCTTTTGCTGTCTCGCCCGCGCCGCCACCGCGCGAGCCGCCACCGCGCGAGCCGCAAGCGCCTGCAACGCCGCCTTGCTAGGCAGGATCTGCGCCACCGGGCGGGCAGAAATGACCCAGCCCCGCCCCGTCGGACTCCCGGCAAAGCTTGCCCCGGGGCCTCGAAACGGCTTCGAGCCTGTCCATTTTATCATTATTTTTCAATGATTTAACCCGCACCCTCGGAGTTGGCACGCGCCTTGCTGAAACAGGGTGCCGGCAAGGCTCGCGTGCATCTGCGTGGCTCGACCGGCGTGACCTGCAACCGCCCGCCTCTGCGCGGGGCAGAGCCAAGGAGGAACGAAGCTCGGCCGATCCGGCCCACGCGCAGTCGGCGCAAGCGCGCCCTGCCCCCCGTCGGAGGCCAAGCCAGAGTTCGAGCCCACGCGAGCGAAAGAAGACGGAGACCCCAACCATGCCCCTCAACGTCATTTCCAACTTTGCTGCAAACGTGGCCCATCGCCACCTGCAGCAGTCGGACGCGGAAGCGACGAACTCGCTGGCGAAGTTGTCGGCCGGCACCCGCGTGCTGTCCGCCAAGGACGACGCCGCGTCGCTTGCCATCGGCTCGCGCCTGCGCGCCGAAGTCAGCGCCCTGCGCCAGGCCTCGGTCAACGCCGGCCAGGCCATCTCCATGCTGCAGATCGCCGACGGCGCCATGGCGCGCGTCGACGACATCCTGGTGCGGATGAAGACCCTGGCCGTGCAGGCCAGCTCGGGTCAGCTCTCCGACACCGAGCGCGGGATGCTGAACCAGGAGTACACGGCGCTGCGTTCGGAAGTCGACCGCATCGCCCAGGACACCGAGTTCAATGGCACCAAGCTGCTGTCCGGCAGTTCGACCTTCTCGGCCACCCTCGCCGGCACGGCGACGGCCATCGAGGTTGCCGACGGCATCGAGCAGATCGCCTTCACCAACGACACCGGCGCCTTCAGCACCGGCAACGTGGTGCAGGTCGCCTACGACGCCACCGCCGACCAGTTCACCGTCACCAACCTGAGCACCAGCACCAGCTACACCTCCGATCCGGGCGTGTCCGCACCGAGTGCCGGCAACTTCAACGAGGTGACGATCAACGGCGCCGGCATCACCCTGACGCTGAACTCCCTGTTCGACGACACCAGCAACATGACTGCTGACGTCACCACCCAGTTCACGGTCGCCGGCGGCACGTCGGACACCCTGAGCCTGGAGTTCAAGATCGGCACCGGCACCGACACGACCGACGACGTCACCATCGACCTTGCCTCGGTCCAGGCCTCCGCCCTGGGCACCGGGCTGGACACCTCGACGGTGGACACCTCGGCCAACGCCACGACGGCGATCACCGCGGTCAACGAGGCGATCGACAACCTGGCCGTCGCGCGGGCCCAGCTCGGCGCCGCCCAGAACCGTCTGGAGTTCGCCGCCGCCAACATCGCGACCACCATGGAGAACACCGAGGCCTCGCGCTCGGCCCTCATGGACCTCGATGTCGCCGCGGAGATGAGCAACTTCACCTCGAAGCAGATCCTGGTCCAGGCCGGCGTGTCGATGCTCGCCCAGGCCAACCAGCTACCGCAGAACCTGATGCGCCTGTTCCAGTAACGACCGGACGCCGCATCGCCGCGCCCGGCCGGGCGGCGGGACCGTTCCCCCGCCCCGGCGCCGGACGCCAACCGCAGGAGATGACCCATGGCCCGCTTCGCCACGCGGATCCGCACCGACGATCTGCTGAAGATGAGCCCCAACCGCATGGTCGCGACCATCTACGAGGAAGCGATCACCATGCTCGAAGACGCCAAGGCGGCGATCGCCCGCGGCGACATCGAGGCCCGCTGCAACGCCGTGTCCATGGCCCACGAACTGGTCGGCTCCCTCTACCTCTGCCTCGACATCGCGCGCGGCGGCGAGGTGGCGGAGAACCTCGGCCGGATCTACGGCTTCGTCCTGCAGCGTCTGCACCGGATCAACTTCGAGAACGATCCGGCCATCGCCGACGAGGCGATCGGACTGCTGGCCCCCTTGCGCGAGTCCTGGCTGCAGCTCGACGGCGACGCCGTCGCGGTGGAGCCCCACGAGCTGGACTACGCCGCCTCCTGAGCCGCGCCTGCCCCCCTTGCGCTGACCAACCGATCGGACCCTGGACGTGATGCAGACCTTGGCCGTCACCTCTCAGCCGGGCCGCGCCCCGGACGCCGCCGCGACGCCGGGCGCCGCCGCCGCCACGACCTCGGCGCGCCTGCTGGCCGTCGGCGCCGCCGGCGGCGACTTTCTCTCGCTGCTGCTGAGCAACGGCAGCGAAGCCACGCAAAGCAGCGAGGAGCTGCGGCCGCGCGCGAAGGACCGCGGCGAACCGGGCGAGGATCAGGGCCGCCCGGCGCGGAGCGACACGCGCGCCGAGGAGACCGCCGACCCACAGGCGGCGGCGCTTCCCGGCCAGGGCCAGCTTCAGCCGACCGCAAGCGGCGGTCAGGACGCGCGTGCCGCCCAGGCGGCCACGAGTGGCGGCCCGGTCCCGGGCGAGGCGACCGCGCCGCGCGACCCC